TGTTTCCCCCGGTCGAATTTGTTTATTTGTCTTTTTTTTTTTTCTTCCTTTTCACTTCGATCGACTCGAAAGTGTTTTTTTTTTTTTTTTTTCTATTGGCCGCGAGGCTTCTTCTCACCGTCGAGGGAAGAGAAATAGACTCGTCCGTTTTTTACTCAACGTATAAACGCAGCTTTATTTGATAGCGGTGCACACAACGCTGTGTACGTCGATGATGCACGTACAATGATATCGGGGGACAGAATGAAAACGATTGCGAGCACAATGCAGGGATGCTCGTCCGTTACGTGTGACGAAGAAGCTCGTTGATGTGACGTCTCTCGTTCACGGTTAACAAATCGGGGACAATCAATGTCTTCGGTGGCATCCCGACGCTGAACACGCGGTCGACCCTGACGCTGTCGATGGCGAGCATCCGCATCATCGCGAAGTGCATGATGTCGCGGTTCAGCTGGCGCCTGATCTGCTTCTTGATCCTCTGCAGACGTCGCCGGCAGACCACGTTACTTTCAAACAGATGAAATTTGCACAATTGTATTACGGAGGAGAGACGGAGAAGACTCGATGTTTCTCAAATACATTCTCAAATGCTCAATTGATATTATCGGGTATCGTCTGTTGTGCCTTTGATTCGATTTAATTTGATTCGCAAGAATGCGGAACCAATGCTGTTTAGTGTGGCAGTAAATTGTTGCAAGTTGCATGTTCGCTCGAGGTTAATTATTAACAAATGGTGTTGCAATGAATATCGTAGATACCTCCTTTTAAGTTGAATCGAATGGATTGAGTAATTAATATGTTTCTTATTTTAATTCAATACGCGTTGTTGAATGTTTAGATGAACAGTTGAAAAAGAAAGAAAAAGAACCGGAGAAGATTAAACTGATTTAAATTCTCGTGGCTAAACTATCGTATGGAAATTTAATTCGAAGCGAGAGAATATAAATGCAGCCACGTCTATTTTTTCGCGTGAATGAAGTGAATCCTTACTAAGGCAGAATCTTAAGAGCGGTGTAACTTGGATGTATTGAAACATCGCTTCTGTATAACTCCGGGTATAATTTCATGTGTTTCGTATGGTATCTTCTAACACGCGGCTTCGTTTCTGCAAGTTCTTCTTTGTCCAGCTCGTCTTCTCCATACACGTTTGCCTCTCCTCCCTGCTGTTGCGCGGCAGCCATCGCGATTTATGAACTACGGATACACACACACACACACGCACAAGAAAATATCGACATCTCGTAAATTATTTGCTTCGATAAATTCTGTTTATTCTTCAGTATTAACTCTTGAACGATTGAAAAATTCGATAACGTTCGATGATTTTTTTATTTTTAATCGCGACGAATGTGAATATGTGTTTGTAGCTCAAGCGAGGCAGAAGATTAAGAAGAAATATACCACGATCTTCAAAAGCGTTTAAAATACTCACTGATTGTTCTTCGTTTTTAATTTAGCAAATCATTTCTTTTAGAATTAGACGTTCCTGCACTTGGACATTTTCAATTGAACGAAACTGAGAGAGAAGGAGAAAACGTTAAAGATTAAAGACGAGTGGGTCCCCTTAGCCTTCTAGAAAATCACGAAGAAGAATGTAAGAAATAAAAAAGTATATCCATGAATATTCAAAGCGTTTGAATTGAAGTCTTCAACTAAACAGAGTCTGACAACAAACTGTCTCAAAAAAAAAAAAAAAAAAAAAAATACGAACTATCGTTATTAACAAAGTGAAAATTTAGAGTCGAATGAATATACTTTAAGAAATATTCACGTTTTTGATCGAACGAAACGAGAAGTGGCCAAAAAAAAAAAAGAAAAAAAAAGAAACCCACAGGATTACTCACGCTGGACGTAGATCGATAATGGTAAAATTTGCAAACGAGATGGTCGAATGTGAAGGGGTGAAACGTGATGATCGCGATAAACGCGTAGCTCGAACTGGAGGGAATTTTTCGATGGTCGATTCCGCCTGGCGAGTCTGGCTGGTCTCCTCTCGCCGCCGATCCGACGAAAGTTGGCCGATCTGTAACGAAGTGAGCCCCTGTGCCTCGTACGGATATCGATTTGGTTTCCAGGTGAATCAATAGAGAGAGATTCGGCTCATTCTTATTGCAATGCGTTGAAACTGTGAATATATGTATACATACACGCCGAACTTCCCGGCACACAGAGGCCGTTAATCCATTCCAATTAACCCGGCAGCGAGAGGAGGATTGCCAGCGGTAATCTCGAGACAAAAGAGACATTTCGAATGATCTATGGATTCGTGTTTCGTTTGAAGGATCCTTCGCGAGGGTGTGTGCATTTATTTAGAGAAATAAATTCGAAATTTTCCTCTCTCGCGAGGAATTGTATTCGCGTCGGAAGGTTCACGAGAGTGGGAAAATTAATCGACCAATTGAAAGAGTAATATTTCCCGCAACGATGAATCTGTTTCGAAACGAAGGCTTTGTAATAGAATGTTACAACTCAACTGTCGACAAATGCTAAATTTCGAGGCTGCGCTGTTAATTAATTAATCGCTAGGTTTCTTCTTTCAATTTTTTTTTTTTTGATGCAGATAACGGTTCGATCGTAGAGAATTTTATTCGTTATTCAATAGCTATAATTCTTGATACGTAACGTTTGGTAATTATTATTCCGCGACAAACTTGAAAGAAATTTGATCTTCGTATCAAAATATTTTTAACGCGGCTTTAATGAACAACTGGTTTCTCGACGAAATCAATTGAGTAGCAAACGTTTTTTATCAATTGCGCAATATTACGCAACAATTTCGATCGACGAGTATTAATCATTGCGATAGGAATGCAATTTTCAAGACCGTAATAATTGGATTGAGTTGAACTTGCTATTCAGAATGACATTTGTACAGTTGCCATTTAATATCGCGAAGTGAAACACATCTCCAATTATTCGTATCACTGCGACGAGGTTAATTTAGTTATCTTTGTTTTGCATTTTCTGCGGCTGCCATTTGAAACAATTACTTTGGGAATAATAAGAATCTCATTTTATGCTCGGTAGAAGGTTCTTTATAACTTCTGTATATATATATATATATATATATATATATATATATATATATATATATATATATAACGTGTGCGCTGCTTTAAATTGAATTCTTGACGTCGGCTTTTATAAAAATTTTTACGAATTAAAAAGGAAAAAGAGGGGGAGTTTTGCTTCAATAGAAATGTATACTCATTGTCGAGTACGAAGCAAATTGTGGAAAACGACGTTTGCTACGTTGAAAAAAAAAAATGAAATTAAGAGTTTTCGATAATAGTAAAAAAAAAAATTAATAATAATAATAGTATGAAAGGAATGACATTGCTTTTATTTGTAATACTGAACAAATCTTTCAAATGGTATTTCAAAACTCGATACTTTATTAAAATTGCAATACCAGCCCAGTATTTTTTTTTCTTTTTTTTTTTTATTGAAGATATTTTTAATATTTCGAAACTATATAATATAATAAATAAATAAATAAATTTCATTCGATATTTATTGTAATAAATTTATAATAAATAAATTTCATTCGATAGTCTCAGCAACGAGATTTTCGAGCTGTTCAACAGTCAATCACTTTTCAACTTCACATCTCTAATGCATTTAAATGGCAACCATAATCTCGCCTTACGATTGTGCAACGCTCTTATAACCTCAAGAGCTTCAAAACGATTCGCTTCCTATTGAGAACCGATTGAAATCTGACACAATTAGAAATAGAGTGGCTTTGACGATAGTATGAAATAAATCTTGTCATATTATTTATTAAACTGTAATCTGACTGAGACTGACTAATCCTTGGTAATTCTAAATTCGAATTTTTAACTTAACCACGATCAATTAACCTCTGTTTTGATTCTTAATTCTGCAATAGTTGATAAAAAATGATAGATAGATCTTCAAAAGAATTACTATTGATAACCAAAGTATCAAAGAAGTCAGTGAGAAATTTAATTTATAATACAATAAATATAGAATTATGATTTCCAATAATTTCTCAATTTCTCCTTGCGTCGAATTGTTATTAATAATGAACAAAATTGCACAAAATATCCAAAATACTTTGGTGTACCTTAATCTTATCTTCAATAATGCGTGAATAATATTTTCAATTATTTAGTGATTATTAACTACTAATTAATATTAATAATGTGCACCTTAATCTTATCTTCAATAATTCGTGAATAATATTTCTAATTACTGATTATTAACTACTAATTAATATTACTAATATTAATTGAATAATATTTTTAATATTAATTAGTGATTATTAACTACCAATTAATATTAATAATGTGTACCTTAATCTTATCTTCAATAATTCGTGAACAATATTTCTAATTACTGATTATTAACTACTAATTAATATTAATAATATTAATTGATTAATATTTTTAATATTAATTAGTGATTATTAACTACCAATTAATATTATTAATGTGTACCTTAATCTTATCTTCAATAATTCGTGAACAATATTTCTAATTACTGATTATTAACTACTAATTAATATTAATAATATTAATTGAATAATATTTTTAATATTAATTAGTGATTATTAACTACCAATTAATATTAATAATGTGTACCTTAATCTTATCTTCAATAATTCGTGAATAATGTTTTTAATGTTAATTACTGATTATTTTAACTGCTAATTAATATTAATAATATTAATTAGTAGTTAATAATCAGTTTTCGATTTCTAAAAAATCTGACAAAATTCTGAGACACTTACTGACATTCTTTACTCTAACATACACTCGTTTTTCGTCTACAGCCAAACGTTTAAAGGAATAATTAAAAAAAATGCAAATTTACTTCGAAGAGAATTACTGAAATTTCACTTAATCAACTTTAACGATTACATCAGAATGTAACAATCATCGCATAAAAATCATCCATCAACTAGTGTGCTCACCCAAAGCACCGAAAACAAGACCGAGGTCCTTTTCAATTAATTTCCACGGTGTACTAAATTTTTCTGCCGGCAACGATCGCGATCACGTGTGGTTCTCAGTTCTCAATTTATCTTGTAAACGAATTTAATTAAACGTACATCGGTACACAGTCCATTGAAACTGCGGTAAGAGCTTCATCGCGTGCTATTTGTTCCGCGAAATAGACGCGGAGCACGAAGGATATTTATCGGAGGACCATCGAGTCTCTGAAGGGCATGTTGTTCTCTCTCCTTCTCTCTTGCGTTCTCCGTAGTTCTCAGCAGCGATGGAAATTCGATTACAATTAGACGCGTAGACATGTCGCTAACAGCTTCGTTACCGCATCGATTAAACCGTGCACGGTTTCGTATCGGTTCACCAATCGCGCACCATCCGATCGATAAAGCTGTCTTGGGCGAAACGGCGAAACGACTTTTGCCCTATCGTCTGCTCGCAATTTGGCATCTTATCGTTAGACGTTGACGAAACATTTCTTCGACATGTTCTGTCTGCGCTTTGGACGTTATACGTCCGGAAAACAGATTCAGTGAAGTATTTTTTCGTGTTATTTGGAATTTTTTTTAACAGTGTTTTTCAATACTATGCAGCGTTTTTAGTGTTATTTAGAATTTTGTGTTTTCTTAAATAGTATTTTTTGGTGTTCTATCTTAGCTCTATTTTAGTATTTTAGTTCTATTTTAATATTATTTTTTTAGTATTTTAGTTTTATTTTAATATTATTTTTTAGTATTTTAATATTTTAGTTCCATTTTAATATTATATTTTTAGCATTTTAGTATTTTAGTTTAATTTTAATATTATTTTTTTAGTATTTTAGTATTTTAGTTTTATTTTGATATTATTTTCTAGTACTTTAGTATTTTAGTTTTGTTTTAATATTATTTTTTTAGTATTTTAGTATTTTAGTTTTATTTTGATATTATTTTTTAGTACTTTAGTATTTTAGTTTTATTTTAATATTATTTTTTTAGTATTTTAGTATTTTAGTTTTATTTTGATATTATTTTTTAATATTTTAGTATTTTAGTTACATTTTAATATTATTTTTTTAGTATTTTAGTTTAATTTTAATATTATTTTTTAGTGTTTTAGCTTTATTTTAATATTATTTTTTAGTATCTTAATATTTTTGTGTTATTTTTTAGTATTTTTAATAATATTCTTTAGTGTTATTTAGAATTCTTAACAAAACTGCAATGAATCTATTTTTCGTAGAATTCTTTTCGTTTTGTAGTTTGTATTATCTAGTTGTTTACAATTTTTGTGTACAATTTCCTCGTCGATGATACATATACGTTTTGTATGCATGAGATAAAATATTGTATTACAATAAAAGTGCAGTGAATTATTTCGTTTTTGATCTTTCTTTAGCAAAAGATATTTTTCAATTCGATAATCTTCAGAAATAATATTAAATAATTAAACTTCAGAAATAAAATAAATAAATTTTAGAAATAAAATAAAATAATTAAACTTTAGAAATAAAATAAATAAATTTTAGAAATAAAATAAAACAATTGAACTTTAGAAATAAAATAAATAAATTTCAGAAATAAAGTAAAATAATTGAACGTTAGAAGTAAAATAAATAATTAAACTTTTGGAAATAAAGTAAATAATTAAACCTTCGGAAATAAAATAAATACTAAATAAAACTAATTAAAATAATTAAACTTTAACTAATAAAATAACTAATAAAATAATTAAACCTTAACTAATAAGATAATTAAACCTTCGGAAATAAAATAAATACTAAGTAAAACTAATTAAAATAATTAAACTTTAACTAATAAAATAACTAATAAAATAATTAAACCTTAACTAATAAGATAATTAAACCTTCGGAAATAAAATAAATACTAAATAAAACTAATTAAAATAATTAAACCTTAACTAATAAAATAACTAATAAAATAATTAAATCTTCGGAAATAAAATAAATACTAAATAAAACTAATTAAAATAATTAAACTTTAACTAATAAAATAACTAATAAAATAATTA